ATTCTGATTTAACCAAAGGTACTTAAAAGCAACATTTGACGCAAATCTACAATATTAGCTCATTATTTTTGATGTTCCTCGATACTCTAGCGATTACCTTTATTATATTTGATTGAGTTTTTTGTAAAAAATCAATATTTAAAACACTTATATTGCTATATTATAACTAAAAACATTGCCTTATAATATAACTTTATACGCTGAAAACAAATTATCTGTTGAGAAGTCAATGGAGCCTATCTCTATTGATTCTTACCTTTTTGTTTCTATATACTTAAACACTATTAATCTTCTTTCTGGTAAGTACCTACATAAGTGACGTTATCTGCTTCGGGTATGGAGGTTACCACATTTAAATATAAAAATGTGGTGTTATCGCCGTCTATTGAAAATATCTTCTACTGATAGAGTTACCAATGAAGAATGCACCAAGAAAGAGAATTGCTAAAAACCATGAAAAAGTAAAAAAAATCATACTTGGAACACATAAAACGTGCACCCAAAGACGAAGTATTGCAACTTATACTACAAGGTCGTATAGAAGGTCGCAGAGGTGTTGGGCGGAAACAAGTCTCATGTTTAAGGAATATCCGTAACTGAACAGGACTTTGTAATATTGGCGAATTGTTATACTCTGCGGGATCTAGAGAGTTATACACAGCGATAGTAAATAACATATCGGAAATGTTAAAAGTTAAATGTCAGGTCTTATGATTAGTTATAAGTATTATTAAAGAAAATTTGTAGTATTGAAGATTTAAATTGAAAATTAAGTGAAAATTAACCTTTTATTAATAAATGCGACCGCTGACACTCAAAGTGAGTAGGCAATCTAAGAAGACGAATTTAATTATTCGTAAATAATTTTTTAAAACTGCAAGTACAAGGGATTAAACTCGTACTCGATTTGTATGTTCTCACTTTTTTTGGAATGTTGGAAATGTGTTGTGCAAGTTTATTAAGAAATTTACTTGCTGTGTTTATATTAGAACGAAATCATAAACCAGCTATAGATTAATTGAATTAATTAATTATATTTATTTTTAATTGTTATAATTTCAATACTATTCTGTTTGTGGAGGCATTATTTGTTACATACTTTTATATTATTCTTTCTCATGTATAGAACCTAATCTAGGAACGTAATATGGAGTAAGTCATGCTTATGTTACTCCAGATTACCATACTTTTTTAATACAAATTGTAATTTTACGTCAAGTATGGCGGTAGTGACTATTATAGTTAATAGAAACTAGCTTATTTAGTACTGAGGTTTCAAAAAACTGTTTCGGGTATTGGAAACGCTATTTAGTATGATTGCTGGTAAAGCACCACTTTTTAAAGTCGATGTGTTATGATGGCACGTTAGTTCACTGATTTTCATACGTCATTGACTGGTCCTTTTTCTAACAAAAGGATGTGATTTTAAAGTTAATTTAAAGCTTCTAAAATAGTTTTAGGATGTTACAAATTTGCATTATCTTCGGCAAACCTAAAAGTGACTAGATGATGACTTGTACGGGAGTATCTGATGTAGATTAAACCTATAAAAAAAGACCAAACTTCAAGACTTAAAGTAATACCAGCATTTATAGTTCAACGCACTGAGGAAAATGATTTGCACTTTACACAAAAATTTCTCGATGGTAGATGAGACTTAAACACTGGTTCTATATTGGTTACAATAGGTGTCTATATAATTTTATGAAAAAAATATCAAATGAAGTTTAAATTTATTATGAAATTCCAAATCATGTGATTCGCTTCTTCGGGAAACTCCACAGACTTGACTTTGTCAGCACCAATGTAGTTCTGATTTTTTTTTGAAAAATAAGTCATTTTTTCACATTTTATTTAATATTTGAAATTTTTATACATTTCCGTTTCATTTAAATCTAAACTAATTTTTGTTGTCCATCATACAAATGTAAATTGTTGTTATTGTATTTCCTAGTACAACCTGGCTCTGAAAACAATGCTCCTACTTTTTTTAAATTCATAGTCGAGGACTATCATAATTAATAAAAGAAAAAAAAACAAAATATAATCCTGTAAAAAAAAATCGAAGCTTTCAGATGAGACCCACAGAGAGACGCTTGTTGTTATTGTATTTCCTAGTACAACCTGGCTTCGAAAACAATGCTCATACTTTTTTTAAATTCATAGTCGAGAACAATAATAATTAATAAAAGAAAAAAAAAACTAAATATAATCCTATAAAAAAAAATCGAAGCTTTCAGATGAGATCCACAGAGAGACGCTTGTTGTTATTGTATTTCCTAGTACAACCCGGCTCTAAAAACAATCCTCCTAATTTTTTTAAATTCATAGTCGAGAACAATAATAATTAATAAAAGAAAAAAAAAAAACAAAATATAATACTATAAAAAAAATTGAAGCTTTCAGATGAGACTCACAGAGAGACGCTTGTTGTTATTGTATTTCCTAGTACAACCCGGCTCTGAAAACAATGCTCCTACTTTTCTTAAATTCATAGTCGAGGACTATCATAATTAATAAAAGAAAAAAAAACAAAATATAATCCTGTAAAAAAAAATCGAAGCTTTCAGATGAGACTCACAGAGAGACGCTTGTTGTTATTGTATTTCCTAGTACAACCCGGCTCTGAAAACAATGCTCCTACTTTTTTTAAATTCATAGTCGAGGACTATCATAATTAATAAAAGAAAAAAAAACAAAATATAATCCTGTAAAAAAAAATCGAAGCTTTCAGATGAGACCCACAGAGAGACGCTTGTTGTTATTGTATTTCCTAGTACAACCTGGCTTCGAAAACAATGCTCCTACTTTTTTTAAATTCATAATCGAGGACTATAATAATTAATAAAAGAAAAAAAAACAAAATACAATCCTGTAAAAAAAAATCGAAGCTTTCAGATGAGACCCACAGAGAGACGCTTGTTGTTATTGTTATTATTATTGCTTTATTATAAGACGCCGCGGCGCAGTGCCTTATCACAAAATAGCAATTTCATTTTAAACAAACAAACAATATGTGTGTACATATATTCACCCAGGAAACCAAATACAAAATAAATACACGCCGTGTGGGCAGGCAAAAGTGGGGGAATATCATAAAATTCAATGTACCTTTTTGCCACAATTGAATTGCTGACAATTATTTCCGGTATTTCACTTCGAACAATTCATTACAGTGTAGAAATAAAACGGGAAATAAACAATACCAAAAAAAAGAATGTAATGAAAATGAATATATTTTTACATTTTTCCACAATTACTTTGCATAGAAATGTTACAATGGAACGCAATAAAAGTTTACAGGTAAGTGATTTTGAAGCAATTTGCAGTTTATTTGCTTGCCTGCAAAGCAATGCCGTCGAATGTAAGTGTTCGCGCTAATGTTTGTATTTGCTTTGTATAGGTGCTGCTATGAGCTTCTGAAGGGAAGCAAATTATCTGTAAGAAAAAATTATGTAAAAAAACATCAACGCGAGCGAGTCTTCTGTAAGCGTACATGTAACGTAACGTTTCTATGTTTGTTTAGTAGTGAAGTGTGGATTTAACAATCATGTTTGTGTGCGTAAAATGCTTTGTGTGGCATACTGAGTAAGAATGTATGTGACGTTTGTGCGTGTATGTGTCGAACTGTTGTTGAGTGAACTTAAGTAAATTCAATTTATTTAAAAGCTTGTCAACAAGAGGTGAAATAAATGTTTTCATTTTGAGATTTTTATAGGGCAGAGCGGTTAGGAGATGAAGCAATAAAAAAAGATTTATTTCCGAATTGCCGCCTTAGAAAAAAATCCACATGAATATTTCAAATACTTAAAAAAATCATCTATAAATAAATATTTCATGTTTTTTTTTTCAAGAAACCTCTTGATTTAAGATTTTTACACTTAACATTTCAAAAATGATTAATTCCTGCTCCAAAGAGCTATAAAATGCATATCAAATAAAATAGAATTAGATAAAAACCAAAAAACCAAAAAACCAAAAATAAGAGAACATAGTAAAATAAAACCGCGCTAAGCACTCAGATATGAAAAAAAATGTACGCTCTATGGGTCGCTTATCCTAACTATGCCTTTTTATGGCGCCGAAACACGGGAATGTTACAGAAAAAAAAACCGAAAGAAATTTGATTCTCTACGAGTTGACAACGACTATTGTATCCAAATGAATCACGAGCCTTAACAGGATATTAACAGAAAATTCACAACCAGTGGCTTCGCTGGCTTGGGCATATCGTGGGATATGTGTTGATGCTCCAACGAAAAAGGTGTTTCAAGCGCCAGTTGGAGTAAGAAAGTATAGACCACTTATCTCGTTCTACAATTGTGGTTTTGTTTGATCCTGCTCCTGATCCTGAGAGTTTATACATAATTAAACTCCTTTTGCAATTGTGCGTAAATCCCATCCGTTTCATCAATAATACCAAAGCTCATAACAAAATTACGTCTGTCTTCGGCTTTGCAAGTCAAATTTGCTTGTTAAATACTAAGTCCTTTTGCTCTCCTTCGACCTTTGTTTACTGGAATGGGGGTTACATTCGCTGATCGCGGAAGGTGGCTGCAATCTTCCACAACCATTCCTAATAGATGGTTTTTGGGGGGTTTTTTAAAAAAAAAAAGAAAGAACGCGTATAGATAGCGTCTCCGATGAGAAAACACTAATTGCACTTGATGTACGAATGTGCAGAAGACGTGCACGTAGCAGACGTACCTAGACAGGAATACTGCATCAGACCGAAACTTAGCAACGGGTTGTTTTTGCCATTGAGATAAATAAAACTCTAAGAAATTATGAAAGTCATATCTAATAATACAAAATTTTTTAATTTTTTATTTCAAATTCAGTATTTTTTATATAAAATATCCTTTTAAAAACTTTTAAAAAATTATTAAATTATTTGAATTTATTATGAAATTCCTATATTTTGATATTACGAATATCAAAATTTCAAAATTGTGGTAACTTTTTCCATTTACAAAGAATGCATCCAAACTGGCTGGAGCCGAGAAGACAAATAGATTTGTACTTGATGATCTCTTTCATCGAGGTAGGAGTTACAACATTCCTGAGGTAAGAAACACTTATTTTAAGATGCGATTGAAATCTAGTAGACACCACTCGGTACTGTTTGGAGTAAATCTGATTGTAAGTGAGTTTCAATTACGATACGCGGCTTTGCTTTTTTTATATTAAGGTTTCTTGTGAAGAGTGTGGCAGTAAAACAATGAAAAATAGTTAATTGTGGTTAGCGGAAGAATTTCTTACAGGCTCTCATCGCAATCAATCAATTAACTTATTAACTAACTAACTATAAATAGAAAGTGGATAGCATGATTAAAGTACAACGTTTGAAGTCTATAACGTATAAAATTTATTCAAAAGACTGCTACTTTAAAGTCAAAACATATTTATAGCCCAAACAGTCAGCAATAACTAATACTTTTTAGTTGCTAACAGTTCACGTATACCACCCTGTACAAAGACTTTAAATATCTGTGGTAATGTTTTTTATTTACTTGTTCAACATTCCAACACAAGTAAATATTCAAATTAAATAGATAGTACATTTATAGTATTTTGTTTATAAGATACAATTTTAAAGTTATTGGCATGTTTTAAGTATGGCATTGAACCGAAATTCTTTCCGTTCCTGGTTTTCGTTCTGGTTCAAGAGAAAAAAAATATGTCGGTTCGGTTCCAGTTTTCGTTCCGACAAAAATATCGGTTTTTTCGGTTTTCGGTACGGTTCCGTGTCAATACTAAAAGCAAAGTTATTTCCAAAAATCATACTATCATCTAATTGATCATTAGATTCACATTCAACTTCAAAATAAGAAAATATTCTTCTAGGTATTTCTATTCCTAATGTATTTACGAAAGAAATCATATTCGCTCAATTATCTATACTAATCGAATAGATTTGTTGGGCATCAGTTTTGTATTTTTCTAAGACTTCTTCGACCATGTTTTTGATATAAATTCCAGTATGTTTACCTTTCAATTCCATTATTCCCAACGTAAACAAATTTATTTTACCGTCTAGAAGCAACTGTGCTTTGATTCCCAAAATTGATTTATTTAATCGAGTAGCTAGGTCAACTTTTAAAGAAAACATTTTATTATCTAAAACTGTAGGTATTTTAGTTATAATTTTAGAAGCCGTCTCACATATTAACAATTTAATGTTTTTGGCATTAATTGAAAAATTACTGATAATAGCAGTCACTATTGGGTCCATTATTCGTTGGAATCCTGAATAGTCCAACATTTCAAACGAACACCTATTAATGGTAATAAGTTTTAGTGAATTTAAAGTATTTTTCACAAAAGTAAATAAATAAAAAATCAACAACTGAAGAAAAAGATGCACAGATATCAAACTATATGGTGTTAAACCGAAAAAAACCAATATATTTTTTTCGGTTCGGTTCTGGTTTTCGTTCGGTTCGGTTCCGGTTCGATGCCCTGGTTATAAGTTTATAACAAGAAAGAATGTTATTTGACTCCAAAATTTTTCTTTTATTTTTAACTGTCATGACGTCAAGATGGTCGTCGAATTGGGCTGTTATACATTGGCGTTTATAATGTCAATATCTTTTCAAACCGCCTTAACCTTCAAAATATTGCTTTAAATTTGAATAGAATAAATTAAGATAAAAACTCTAGAACTGATATAGAAGAGTTCGTGACTTTAAGCGAATTATTAATGCAGTGTCAGATACTGTGTGAACTTAATGTTCAAAAACTTAATGTGCTAAAACATAAAGCCTGCTAAATAATTGAATTTTATACTTTGCGATAACTGTAGTCAATCTTTTTTACTCTTGTAAGTAATTCCACTTTGAACACGAAAAGAAAGTTATTGACAGTCTTTCTTCGCTCACCTACAAAACTTCTTGAAAACTTTTAATTTGTTTCGAGTGCAATCCATAGACAACTTCAACTCTTGAACTCGGGCTGTTGTGTTGTTGTGTTCATTCGCACTACAGATAATGCAGTTGTTCACATTCTTACTTGTTTATTTATTTATTTTTCTTTTTTTTTTGTAAATAATAGTTGTAACTATTACTGTTGTTCAAAATTTGTAGTCGCGTTCGGATGAAACTTGCTACAACATTCCAAATGTTGTTACATTTATGTCCGCCTCAGTAGGTTGTGGAACAGCGTCATACAATTTACTTCGTCATTTCCTGTCATTTAGTTTTGGTTTGAGTTTCAGTTTTAAATCGCTGGGGTAATCCTATCCTATAATTTCAGTCCATTTATTTGTTGTGTCTGTTGCGGGAATCAACTTTCGTTTAATATGACGCCGCTGTGTCAGTGACATTAAATGCAGGTTGCGAATTGCAGAGGTAAGTTTAGTCCAACTCCTTTCCAACTCCTGTTCTCACTGAAGTTCATTGCAGTGATGGTTATGATGAAAAATGTTTGATATTTAATGACAAAAGTATGTAGGTAAGTTGCAAGTTGTAGGTTGCTCAAGTATCTGGGTACTGATAGTGAAACCATTTCAGTAATGTTTCCTGCGGGGTAAATTTTTTAAAAGACCGTTGAAAAGATATAATATGAAGTAGATAAATATATAATAAACTTAATTAATAACACACAATATGAGTATGCTTTGAATTCAAAAATGCAGAAATAACATATTGTTAATATTTAAGATTTAAAAAGCCAAAAACATAACAAAATATGTTTATACATATAATATACATTTGTATTTGTTTAAAGTCTCAAAATAGACATACTTAAATGATAAGCTTTAATTTTTCCTGTTTCAATTGCATTGAAGTACTATGAGAAGTTTTTTAATTATAAATTGCATTTTAACTTCAGTAAACCCCTCCTTGGGTGAGGGTTTAACCATTTTTACTGATGGGTCAAAAACTAGAAGTAACGCAGGAAATGGAGTTCACTATATACTCTTATTATAGGCTTTCAGATCACTGTAGTGTTTTTCAGGCTGAAGTGATTGCTATGAGGCAAACTTTAGCTTGCCTAGCAGTAAATAATATACTTTATAGCTATATATACATACTATCGGATAGTCAAGTTGCTTTAAAGTTCTTGAGCTTGGTCCAATTTACATCTGAGACAGTCTTTGACAGTCTTTAATCTGGATTCTTGTTCATAGGAAAATGTTCGGCAAATGCAAAGTAAACGAGGTGCTTCAGAAAATCAGTCAGAATAACTGAAAAATCCGAGCATCTTGCAAACTGGCATTGAATTTTTTCCGTGCCGAACTTTTTAATAAAAGATGGGAAGATTCAACGGTATGCAGGCATCTGTTTGCAATTTGACCACGCTACAATTAAAGTAAATCAAGCTCTCTCATTAAGAAACCCTGCCTTGTAATAGGTTTACTTACAGGTCATTGTATTTTAGGTAACCATTTCAGAAGACTAAATCTCTCCTTTAACCATACCTACCGTAATTGTGGAACCAAATTGGGAATTGGGGAACCAAAGAATCGCCAAGGCCTGAGCGACCTTTACATGTGGTATTAAGACAGAATATACATTCCGAACAAAGGTAAGCATTCAAAATAAAATTTTTTTATTTTTTTAATAATTAAAATATCATTCATTAATACATTAAAAAAGTACTTTATGCATATAGTAATATAAGAAATGCTTTTTTCATAGAATGTATAATTTGAAGACAAAGAACAGTATCTTAAGCAATAATCCAGATATATGAAGCTGTCTAATGGACCTTTTATATTTATAACCATTTCGATTTCCAAATCTCTGGCTCTAATAAAACTTCACAAGCTTCGGAGATGTTAACGTGAAAACCCTAATATCGAAATTACCAGAAATTTGGACATAGGGTATAACCAGGCTTTTGATTTTTAAGCATTCAAAAAAAAATATATTAGGAAAATACATAATTCTAATTAATAACTAAATTTTGTTTGTGTAAATCTTTTGTTTTGAAACATTTTTATGAAATTCAACAGAAATACACGATTTTATTAAAACTATTATATTCAGACCCAAAAATGTATTTGTTTTAATTTGCAGCAAATCTTTGAACTTGCAGAAGAAGCAAATTCAATTCTTCAAACTAGAATGGTCTTGATTGGAAACGAAAGTAGATAAAAATTTATTAATGTTTCAATGTTTACTTTGCGTTTCGTTTTTTATGGAGGGTCTGCCATTTTCGAAAGATCCTATTAATGAAAAACCTAAGCAACCGCCTTTACTAATAACCACGGAAAGACAATGTTCTAGATGTGTACGTTAGGTTACGGTGCCCCCTGCCACAGTGACCTAACCTAAAATACAATGAACTATCAATGGTGAATTGAACCGTGCTTTAGCTTTAATTTGGCAGAGACATAATAAAACAATATTATTATGTAAGTTTAGTATGTTTTGTTCTAGTTCATTACATTTAAAACTACTTGGGGTCCATGAGCCATGTAAATATCTTTAACACTCCAAGAATGCAAGTAACACTTAACGAAGCAATACAGAAAAACAATGATATGTTTTGTGTTTTATACATGTATTTTATATGTAGACTTATAGCTGTTATTGTTGTTCTGATTTCAATTACAAGTATTTGAGAATATAGTTTAAAATTCCTATCCATATTCTTTATTCAGTGCCTTCATTAATATTATCATTAAATAAATAATTTACAAATAACAAATATACCAAATATAGAATATAAGCTCCTAAACTTAGAACATACATTCCCATTTTTTGAAAAACTAAAATATTATTAAATGTAATTTTTATTGACGGAATATTGACGGAAGGTAATAATCAAGTTCAGAATGTTGAATAGAAGAAATCGATGGAATACGTTCAATACAAAAGTAAGATAAGATAAAAAAATATACTATAATTAAATACCGCCATAATCTTTGATATATACTGATATATACATACGTCAGTATACTGGCTTCTTTAAATATATTTCCTAAAACAGCTGTTGTGTCTGCTCGTCTGTATTTTCGACGCTCGTAGAAACCGCCCTTGGCTCGTGGCTAACCCGTGTCCAATCTTCATATACCTGTGTGGCTTCTTTGTTGATCTTTGTTGTGTGATCCTTCTATAGTAGTGTATCTTAGGCCTATAACTTCACTTCTCCAATTATTGCTTTTTCCTGTTACTTCTAAAATTACTTAATACCTATCTATATCTAACTAACTCCATATTCCTTCATTTCATTTGTAAAGATAATTTTTTTTTATATTCAATATTATATTATATTATTTTTAATTGAAGTTTTGACTGACCATGTTTTGAGTATTGTCAAATATGCATTATCAGTAGCCCTGAAATTATTTCTTATATTTAATTATTTGTAAATAATTTTCCTTTTTTTTAAACTGCAAGTACCAGGGACTAAATTCGTGGTCTGCCATATTTGAAGCTCAGAGTCAACATTTATAAGTTAACTAACCCAAAGTCATACTCAACTTGTATGTTCGCACTTTTTTTTGGAATGTTGTTAGTTTGTTGTGAAAGTTTATTAAAAAATTCACTTGCTGTGTTTATATTAGAACGACATCATAAACCAGCTGTAGAATAATTGAATTAATTAATAATATTTTTATTTTTATTTTTAATTGTTAAATTTCAATACTTTTGTTTTGTAGAGGTATTATTTTTGCCTGAGTTTCTTTATGTATAGAACCTAATCTAGAAACGTATGTTAGTGAGATTGGAAATCAAACATATTTTTTATCCATATTATTTCCATCATAATTTTATATTCATTTTGCTTTTAACTTTAATATGACAGAAGTGGCTATTTTTTATTGATTTTAGCTCTTTGATAAATGTACATTAAATGTACATTAGCTTATGTAGGTTTATCGGCAAAACTAATTAAACTTTAAAATTTTTTTTGATAATTTTAGTTTAATTTGATTTTAATTTTTAAAATTAATAATAGTGTGTGTGTGTTAAAGTTGTGTAAACAGAGAATTCACTAAAAGTAGTCTTTAATCAAAAAAACTTTGAAAGACTAGAAAATTACTTAATTCTTCAAATCTTTGCGAAGACAAAATTATAATTAAACAACTATAAAAAAAATAGTTTCGTGTGAACAAATTATGTGAATAAAATTTATTTCTAAACAAATGCAAAAAATGATGAATGGTGTACGATGAGGTTGTGAACGGCTAAAGACCGCTGCAATTGGTATTGACTATCCGGAGGATAATATTTTTACAATTACAGTGAACCATAAAATATGTCACTTTTAGGCGCAGCATGTAGTGTTCACTGAACAACGTGGGACGTGCTAAGTAATGTATTCTCTTTTGTTCTTCCATTTCTAGAGACCAATAGTTAAATTCATTTCCTAGGCCTACATAGCACAGCGACATTACTAATGCAAATACTGCGCTTGGGTAAAGAAAAACAATTGCTAGGACGAATCGAAGGTACAAAATAATATATCAAAATCCTATCTAAAAGCCCAAAATTTAACAATCTTTGCAATTTAAAACACACAAGTACGTCAGACTTCATGCTATATAAAATTTACAGATTTGTGAGGGCCTCTAAGAAGCAGTCACCTATATATAGTATATGTTAGTATCCAAAAAGTTATAGCAAAAATAAAACTTGTGATCAAGTGATTAAGTTCAGCGAGACTTTTAAGTGAGCAAACGAAAGAAGTGTTAAAAAGAAAGATATTGTTGTCTTTATTCAATGCAGTACCTCAAACTGAAACAATTCTGATCAATATTAATAAATTTGTGATTTAAAATATTTAAATATTGCATACGCATGTGTTTTATGGATGTTCTATATGTTACAAATTTTAATTATTAACTAGTTTGTAAACAATAATTTAAATACTACGATCTATTCTCATATATCCAGATTTGTGACATATTTAGCGAGGTTAATTTAGCACTTTTTTTGAGCATAAAGTACCAACACTTTAAAAAAAATTTTGATGAGCTTGATTTTAAATTATTCCCGCATTATCAAGTGATGATTTCTAAAATTTTTCTTTTTTAATTTATTTTCTTTTATTGCGATCTGTCACTTAAGAATAGACAATTAACAATATTTAAGAGTAAGTGACTAAATACTTAACTGTGTACTGTAGTCATTAGCACATCCGTCTGTTGAAGTCATTTCTAAAACTTAATACTGGAAAATAATGATATTACGTGCATTCTCAATTAATTTTTTGAAATACTTCTAAATATAATATTATTGGGAAAATTTGAATTTTTAAATAAAATTTCATTGAGTTTTAATCAAAAATAAAAAATAAAAATTCTTGTATTGTATATTATAAAAATGTACATTTTAAAAAATTTTATTTTATAAGTTTTATTTAATATATTATTGATTTAATGATCACATTTAGTGATCATATATTATTGAAATATTTTATTGAAATGTTCTTGAACGGACTTAATTGTCAATATTTAATTATAAATAACCTTTGAAATAAATTTTAAAAAATATATTTACTGTCGCCAATATTTCGACTATTGTCTGTAGCTAATAGGTTTTTTTTTCATTTGTGCATTTTTTCTTGGTAAAGACATCTTGGATTTTTATTAAATCACTAACGTAGATTCATAAGCTATGACACTCCTCTTGTTTCAGGTCTGCGCCTTTCTTCAATTCACGAATAAAAAATTTGATCAAATTATTCTATTCCGGTGTAAATAATAAAACTTGTCGAGTACCTTTCATCTAAAGTGTAGCAGTCGTATTTGAAATGAGAATAAATTACTTTATAAAAACATGATTAATTTCTGCTCGATTATGTCATTGTATATTAATGAAACGAAGAGCAATAAGTGAATCTACCACATACCCTTTGAAATCATTAGAAATCTTCAAAAATCATTAAAAATATTAAACTTGAAAAACCCCAAAGCTACTTAGTGAAGATATTTTGCATTTCACCTAATGAAATAAAAATCGTAATGAATTTGTTGAGGATCACATTAAATTCATGCTATAAAGACACGCTTATGTTGGCATTGTAAAAATTGCCTAAAGATAGACAAGTGAACCAAACATAGATACTCTTGTTGAGATGGCGTACGTTAACTCATATGTGGTGTGTAGTAAACGTTACAAAACCATATGAAAATTTTACTACAAAAATTCCAAAAAAAAAAATATTTAGAATCAACAGCAAAATAAGAAGAAGACAACTTTGCAGACAGTTAAATTGTTTGGTCCCGCAAGGCATACGAGACAAGCAACTGCAGTCGAAAGGCGAACTAAAAATGCGTAAGTAGTTACGTTACGGATACGCCATGTTGGTAACGGCAGGCACAGACAAAGGACACCAACGACTCCATGACAGGTAAGTGAGTCAAAGGTACGCCGTTAATTTCGTACAGAAAGGGAAGTTTCAAATTTAATATTTTCAAAACAAACCGGAAACACATAACCACGCACGTGTGCGAGGCACGCTCATTGACAACAGTTGCAAGGTGAATCAAGACGCGGATATGCAAACTAGCAAAAAACTATTATTAAAGATTTCAGTACTACCGTCAGGCGGGCACAGGCCACAGAAATGCAACAGACACAGCAAAAAGGAAGACATTCTGTTTTAAGGGCATTTAGAATCCTTTCAAATTCACGATATTATGTGAACTACAACATTTGTTTTAGAACTAATAGTTTATTTATGACTCCACTCCCTACGATTTCTATTGAAACTACTTTCAGCGATTACAAGGAAAGTTTACGCATACGGTGCAGAAGTACAGCCTTGAGAGAAGCTATTAACGTCGTTACTCTATTTTCACTTTGCATGAAAATTTTTATCCAATAACATCACTGGCATCAAATCCAATTTTATGTGCGACTATACAGCGATCAGACTACGCTTG